ATCCCAAAAGCCCCAAACACGAGGCTGCTGTAAAATTGCAGAAGGTGTATAAAAGCTTCCGAACCAGGAGAAAGCTTGCAGATTGCGCAGTTCTTGTTGAGCAGAGCTGGTATGTATCTATTGATAAGTACTACTAATCCTGGTCTTTTTTTTTACAAAAAATGTAAGGATGTACAACCTTGTTCTAACAAAATTAGTTGTTATAATCTCAGGTGGAAACTCTTAGATTTTGCAGAGCTCAAGCAGAGTTCTATTTCATTCTTTGACATTGGGAAACATGAATCTGCCATTTCTCGATGGTCAAGAGCAAGAACAAGGGCCGCAAAGGTCGGAAAAGGTTTATCAAAGAATGACAAAGCACAAAAACTTTCTTTACAACACTGGCTTGAGGCGGTAAGTCAAATAAAGGGTTTCTATGGAAATGATATTAGTTAATCATTGCTCTTCGACCACTCTTACTGGTTCTTAATCTTTATTATATCTTGTTTAAAACAGATTGATCCACGGCATCGATATGGGCATAATCTTCATTTCTATTACCTTAAATGGCTTCAATCTAAAAGCAGAGAACCCTTTTTTTACTGGTAAGAGTCTTTGATCAATTTTACTTAGGTATTTAAAATTTTGATACTGGACACCATGGATTCGAAGTTAAACTTGCATATGCAACTGCAGGTTAGATATAGGAGAAGGGAAGGAAGTGAATCTTGACAAATGCCCTCGTTCAAAACTTAAACAACAGTGCATCAAGTATCTCGGTCCGGTGAGCTTTCACCTACACTTTTGTGCTCAGCTCTTTATTTAGTAACCCAAATGCTTTAACTGATAAACATTTAACATTACAGATGGAAAGAAAGGCCTATGAAGTTGTTGTCAAGGATGGGAAACTCGTCTACAAAGAGTCAGGGGAGCTTCTCTACTCCACAGAAGATGCTAAGTGGATTTTTGTTCTCAGCTCATCTAAGACCTTGTATGTCGGCAAGAAGATGAAAGGCAAGTTTCAGCATTCTAGCTTCTTGGCTGGAGGAGTTGCAACTGCTGCTGGTAGATTAGTTGTTGATGGTGGAGTTCTTAAGGTATAACTATAACATATCCTTTCATTGCATTGATGCAAAATCTCTTGTTTTGTTTAATGGTCTTCTGAGATGCAACATATATGTTAACAATGGCTTCTTTCTATTTTTGACAGGCGGTTTGGCCTCACAGTGGTCATTATCGGCCTACAGAAGAAAATTTTAAGGACTTCCTTTCATTCCTCAGAGAAAACAAAGTCGATCTGACAGATGTGAAGGTAAAAAAATCTATAGCGTTTTTATTCTTTGGTTATGATGTCAATTATTATTGTAGTGATAAGAGCTATAAGGTCATTCGCTGAGCCTTTTATTTCCCTGATATTGCAGACATGTTCCACGGATGAGGAAGATGACGTCCTTTACAAACAAAGAAGCTGCAAACATCTTAGAAACAACTCATCAGATGAGGACTTGAGTCATGCAGTGAATGATTTAGAAACTGAGGAAGTTCAAGACTTGACTCCAGAAAATACCTATTCTGTCGATGAAAAGACGTCTTCTGTGTTGGAACAGCAGAAGCCAAGGCAGCTCATCAACTTTGGTAGAAAATTGACTAATCTTGAAGTGCCAGAAAGGTGTGAATTGGTTGAGAGACTGAAAAGCACAGAACAGCATTCCTCGGAGCCAAATCATAACATGTTTGATGAAGAACTAGAAGGGAACGACGCGGAAAAGATTCCCGATGAAGCAATCATGGAAAGGATTAATTCTAAGAAAGGAATTACGTCATATCAATTGGGGAGTCAAGTGTCTTGCAAATGGACAACAGGAGCTGGACCTCGGATTAGCTGTGTCAGGGACTACCCTTCAGGACTCCAGTTCCGGGCTTTGGAGCAAGTGAACTTGTCTCCAAGAAGCACTGGTTTACTTGCTCGTAAGGCATCCACACCGACTATTTTGGCGTGGAATGAGACCACCTACAGGCATACACCAGTGTCAGCAGGATAAAAAATTGTGGCAAGGAAGGCTTCCCGTTCTTAAAACGCACTCATTGCCTCCTGGGAAAGTGAATCATTGGCTTCGGTAGAAGTAGTTCCTAGTTGATTTTTCTTTTCTGTGAATAGAAAAGATGATACAGGAAATCTTTCGTGTTCCTTTTCATTTCTTTTCCTGGTGAAATCAGTTATACAGTTTCTTTTTTTTCCCTTCCTTTTATAGGTATAATCTTGTTCAAGTTCGAACAAAAATTGTAAACTCTTTAGGGTTTTCAAACCCTTTAATACAAAAGAAAATATGCATTCATTCTTTCCATCACCTGGAGCAGTCAAATTATAGCATTATCTTTCTGGCTTATAAAAAACGGAAAACAAGTCATTTATTTTGGTCATTCATTGGGTTAGTGTTAGTATAGTGACATAATAGTCATATAACATGCGCTCCGCGTAGGGGAATAATACATCGCAATTACGTTCAAAATATAATGAAATTAGAATCCTATGCCCATATCTTATCGATCGATTAAATATCTCATTGTTTTAATATATTATTTAATATATTTTAATTTTAATATTTACAAAGTGATTTTTTCCAGGATGTATTAAATCTTAGGCTTCCTAACATCTTAATATTTTTAGTTAGGAAAAAAATGATATGACCGGCAGTGCAAATGATTTTTTTTTCCTAAAGTATTTTTTTAAAATGTTCAAAATAAATATTAAGATGGTGGGATATTAAATAATATATTTATAAAAAAAATAGAGCAACTAATTTAATTTAATTTAATTTAAAATCAAACTCCCTTTAAAAAAGGTATAAATTTAACAAAAAATAAATTTAAAATTTTGATATAAAGTGGGTTATTTTTAAAATTAGTAAAAAACAACGGAGTATAGCCCCCTAAAAATAAGTTAAAAAATTAGGCAAATTTTCAAAATTTAGATTAATTACTAAACTGTGGGTATACAAAAGTTATCTTGAATGCAAAAAAAATCATATGACATCAGCGTTTTAGAGAACTCAAAGAAAATTTGAGACTCAAGTTATTAAGCCGGCTAAGATTGAAAAATTTCAAAATTTTGACCAAACTTAATAGGTAAGGAATGAATACCTACCAATATATATGTATAAACAAAAAAAAAAATCTTGAGCAAACCTAACAATTAACTTCGATCAATAAATTAAATACATGATCTAAGACATGAAATTAAAATAATCCCATAAATAGAAAAGTCAAAAAAATATCAGCTATAAAAATATTTGAAAAAAAATGCTTTAAAAAAAATTAAAATTGACTCGGGTTTGTCTTCCAGGTCTATTTTTCAGGTCATAAGACTGGGGTGACATTATTAAAGGCGAAACAAAAAAACAAGATTCTTAATCAAACAAATATTAAGGGATGAAATTGATTAAAAAAAATCAATAAAAAATACAAAATAAAACAAATAGTAATTAAAAAATTACTATTAAATTCAACATAAAAATTAACTGAAATTAAATGATTAGGGGAAATTAAATGAAATTAAATATTTAGTAATGAAATTAAAAAGATAATTAATTAATAAAAAGAATTAAAAAAAATTAAGACCAAATTTAACATAAAAATTAAATGAAAATAAATATTTAGAGATGGAATTGAAAAAAAAATCAATCAAGAAAATGATTCAAAATAAAATAAATAACAATTAAAAAAATAAGGACCAAATTTGATAAAAAATCAAATGACTAGGGATGAAATAAAAAATAAAATTCAATTAGAAATAATTACAATTAAAAGAAGAGGGATTAAATAAAAATAAAATAAAATTGAAAGGTTGATATAATTTTTTACATGAACAATATAAAATCTACAAAAGCAAGGAAAGCAAAAGAAAAAAAAAAAGAAAGAAAATTGATGTCAAACCAGATCATATAACCATACATGAGTTGTCTTGAGTTGTCTGGAGAATACCAAAGATAAATCAAATGATATGTTATAATTACTATTATAACTATTCTAGTTAATTTTACATGTCGCTTAAAGGCTATGAAGCGGTCAATATGTGCAAGACTCATTTCAATAACTGTTTATTTTTTGTCATTTGTACAAAAATAAAAATACCTGTAGAAATATATAATAATAACAACAAAAAAACTACTATAAAATTACTACAATCAATCCCTTGAAACTAGGGGTAAAATTTTTGAATGTTAAAAATAATGGAATCATTCAATTGTTCATTGTAAAATACAATTAATATAAGACTCCTGGATTAAAGGTTTCGATTTTAACTTTTAAGATCAATACTATGATTGCTATTATATAGAAAAAATAAAAAAAATATTATTATCTCTTAACAAATGAAGAATAATAAATTGATTTCATGTAAAGATCCCATACTCCTCGATGCAAAACTTTTTCAGTCAAAAGCAAAAGAGTAATTCCACTATTATAATCCAATGCATACCTCCAGTAGTTTTCCCATGAGGTTGAAGTTCTATTAATTTTTTGCCCTTTTCTTTTCTGTAAAGGTAACAACTTTTGAATTGTGTTTACAATTTTCGAACATTTGGTCATCAAAGGCAACACATGATAGGGATTTTTGCCACAACCAAAAACATGGATTGCACTTTGAATTTTACTCTCTTCAGTGAAAGAGATCGTCAATATTGGCCAGAGGATATTTCATATTTGAAGTGACAGCAGCCTGTAATTATGTGACAAATTGTCCTTCTACTTCTTGTTACAAAAGCTGAAACAAAACAAAACAAGACAAAACCCTTTTAGATAAAGTAACAAGAAAATAAAAATATAAACTTGCAGTTAGTGGAACAAAACCACTAAAAAAACCCAACAGAATCTTGAACTCCACAAAAAGCTGCGTACGAATATTTGTATACAGTTTCCAAAGATTCAAACTTGAGTCCCTCTTCAAAAGCTAAAAAGCTCGAAAAGAAAGGAAAAACCCCAAAAGCCCATTTTGTTAGTCTTTTACTTTGGATTTTCTTTCTCCTAGTGTCAAGACTCCGAAAACCCACCTCAGGAATTTGACACATGCCTCATCCACTGTTGTATCACACTAGGACGACTACTCGGGGCTCCTAGTCTGCAGCTACTCTTGAGAAATTGAGGTTTTTTTTTGTTGGCTGCTGAAATGTGTGTGACTAGGAATAAAGGGGTGAATTATGAGAAATTCATCGAGCATTTTCAAGGTAAGACTAGAAAGTTTGAAAGGCATAGCTTTGTTTTAGCTGTGTTTATGTTTTTGGGTTCTGTTTTTTGTTGCTTTTGTGATGAGGTTGCTATGGTATCAGTGCCTCTTGGTTTTGAGATTTCAGGTTTTGATAGAAGTAGAACTTGGGTGTCTCAAAATGGGGTCTTTGCATTTGGATTCTTAGAGAGTTGTTCAAAAGAAGATGAAGTTGATAGCTTTGTTGTGGGAATTAGGTATAATTTAGGAGATAATGAAACTGTGAATGTTCCTGTATGGAGTGTTGGTGGTGGTCTTAGGGTCTCTATGAACTCTACGATGAGGCTTTCCATGGATGGGAGGCTAATTTTGTTAGATAACCCTAGTGGTGTGATTGTTTGGAGTAGTGATACTTCTAGTTTAGGTATTAGAAAGGCCAGTCTTTTGAATAATGGGAACTTAGTTCTTGTGGGTATTGAAGATAATGTGCTTTGGCAAAGTTTTAATAGCCCAACTAGCACTCTCCTTCCTGGTCAGTCTTTGCATTTTCCTCAGACCCTAAGAGCCCCTTCCAAAAAATCAACATCTAGTTACTACAGTTTTGTGATTCGGCACTCCGGAGAGCTTGCTCTTGTTTGGGAGAATAATGTGACCTATTGGAGTAATCATGTGAACCTTCTTAGGAGTGTTAAGGAAGCTATACTTGATGGTAATGGTCTTTTGGGGCTTATTGATACCAGTAATAAAACCGTGTGGTCCATATCAAGCAAGGATTTTGATGAACCTTCTCCGACATTGAGGCGTCTTAAGATGGATTCTGATGGGAATTTGAGAATCTACTCATGGAACCATGTGCTCCATGAATGGAAGGTTGGGTGGCAAGCAGTTGAAAACCAATGTGATGTATTTGGTTCATGTGGTCTTTATAGTTTATGCGGGCTTAATTCCTCTGGAGCTGTCTGTGATTGTCTTTACCAGGATTCGGTAAATTGGGGAACTGGCCTTTCCACAGTGGATTCAGGTAGTTCCGGGTGCAAGAAGATGGTGGATTTGGGGAACTGCAAGATGAATACAAGCATGATGGTTATGAGACAGACATTTTTGTATGGTCTTTATCCTCCTCAGGATGTTGATATCATGCTGAGCGAGAAAGCTTGTAAAGAATACTGCTCTAATGACACGAGCTGCATTGCAGCAACTTCAAAAAATGATGGTTCGGGTATTTGCACAATCAAGCGAACCAGTTTCATTAGTGGGTACGGGAATCCTACTGTTTCTGCTACTTCATTCTTAAAAGTGTGTCTAGTCCCTCAGGCTGTTTCAGCTCGAGGAGCTAATCCTCATGTTACTGTGAAGCCAATTCCAACACCCAGAGGAGTTGACAGCAAGAACTTCACTGCAGTTATTGCTTTGATAGTTTTGGTAACAGCATCAGGTTTTGTGGCCATTGAGATGTTTGTTTTTTGGTTTATGTACCGCAAACGGAAAATGAAAGCTCACATAAGAATCCCCTTTGGCAAGGATGCTCAAATGAATGCTCATTACAATAGTCTTATCAGATTATCCTTCGAAGAGATAAAAGAGATAACATCTGACTTTGCAAATAAACTTGGCCCCTCTGTTTATAAAGGTGCATTACCAAACAAAACAACTGTTATTGTGAAGGCTCTGAATGATGTGACATCAGATGAGAAGGATTTCCGAGTTGCAGTCTCTACATTAGGAAGAATGCACCATCGGAACCTTGTGCTATTAAAGGGTTTCTGTTTCGAGGCCAACAACAGGTTTTTAATGTATGAGTACGTCCAGAATGGTTCTCTGGATAAATGGCTGCTCAACATGGAACCTGACCACAATGAAGGGACATGGCAGCAGAGACTTGACATTGCGCTTGGAGTTGCTCGGGCCCTTGCTTATTTGCACTCAGAATGTCAGATATGTGTAGCTCATGGGAACTTGAAGCTCGAGAATGTCCTGCTTGATGAAAATTTCATTCCTAAATTGACTGATTTTGGACTTGGAAGCTTGTTCAAGGAGGAGGCAACTTCCTCCTCAGTGTCTCCTTCAGAGAGAGATATCTACATGTTTGGGGAGATGCTGCTGCAAATTGTCACTTGCAAGAGGGATATGCTGAGTGACAATCTGAACCTTTTGGTTGAAAAGACGAATGAAGAACTGAACTCAGAGGATAGCATAATCTCTGAAGAAGTAGAAAGAGTTGTGAGGATAGCTTTGTGGTGTATGCAAAATCAGACCTTTTTACGACCTTCCATTGGTGAAGTGGTTAAGGTATTAGAAGGTACACTTTCTGTAGATAGGCCTCCATTAGGTTTTGCTTTTAGACCGGACCAGATGGATGGGAGAGTTTTAGCTGACGTTGAAGTAGACTCCTAGAAGAGATCCTGAGTTTGACTAGGAAAAATGTGCTTCACATTTGTAGGTTTAGTTAAAGAATGTGGTTGCAACTGGAGGTCCAAAGTTTTTGTAAATTGGACCCTTGAAATGTATCAATTTTCTATCGTCAATGTAAGCCAAGAGACTAGTTTTGTTTTTTTTGTTTTTTTTCCCTGGTTTTGCTTGTGATAATTAATATATGCAGTACCAGGCCTTTTCCAGCTTAGTATGTTTCTTATTTCTTTGTACAGCTTTAGTCTTGATTTAGTTTTTACAATCCTGCTCTTTACTATTAATCAGTTTTTGTTGGTTTATATATTTGTCTTGGTTAACTGCCTGGGCTGCCTCGGCTCCATGTGCTGCTTTGTTTTGGTAATACATCCAGCCTATTACTCTCAAGGTGTGTCTTCAATGTCTTTGGAATAATCCAATAGCATAAGAAGCATGCTCAGAGAGCCATAACTGATGCATAAGATCTGGTCATTTCACAGGGAGTTGTGGGCTGGATGTTTGTGTGATTCGGGCATGGCTCAAAGTTTCAACTTATGCGCCCGATGTTCTTTTCAGTATCTTATGATTCCTTTGAAATCATAGGAGAAAACACCTATTCTCTTTTTGCTTTTGTTTTTTTCCAGTAAATTCTTCCTTTAGAAGCATTGAAAGGGAAGTAAGGTATATCTACCTTTGTGGACTACTGGTGGGGTTTGCAAGCCAAAGGCAGCTGGAATATCCAACTTCATCCTTTTCCCTCGTTTCCTTTTCTTCTTTCTCTTTGTATGCTTTTCTTGCTGTCAGAGGAATGAAAAACCATTGGCTTAACCCTACATAAATTCTTTACTTTACTTTGATTCAATGGCAACACACACTATTAAATACTATCAAGAGTGTCTCACACTTCCCACAATCATATCATATCGACGATCAAATTTGACTGCAGGACAGATTAAGCATTTCAACATGGGTTTTCTTGGTGTAGTTGCAAAGCGTTTGGATGCATTTGTCGGGTACACATTTTTTGTTCTGAATTTCATTTCTAGTAGGCATGTCCAATCATCATTTCTAATAAGATATTTTCTATTCAGTCTTAACCATTCCTGAGTATCTTCAGGCCAGCCTTTTGACATTGAGATCAAGTCTCTTAATAGTCAATTATTTTTTCTTCTTGTTTCTCTTTAAATAACATGTGGAAACAAATTTGTCATCGTGGCCTCTAAGAATTTTTATTCATGTATATATTGATGACTACTCTAACAACAATTTTCTTGTGTTTAACCAGGCCTGGAATCATGCTTGTTTTTCCACTGTGAGTAGTGAAAGATACCCCCTATTATTTATCTTTGAAGTGTTTAAAATTACTCTGAACAAAGAAAAATGATGAAGAAGAAACTAAAGAAAAGCCAATAAGATGTGGTAACTAACTTGAGTTTTGTATGAATGATCATGGCTTGAATGAACAGGTATGCATCATTGCGAGCCATCGAAAGCCCTTCACCTCTTGATGACCAACAGTGGCTAACCTATTGGATAATATACTCTTTCATTTCCATTTTCGAGTTGTCATTTTGGAGAATCCTAGTTTGGTAATGTTAAGATTATAAAATACACACACAGACACACAAATATATGTGTGTGTGTGTGTATTCATATATATATATAATTCACCCTAGATATTTATTTGCCTTCTCTAATTTTGAGAAGGAAATGTGTATGATATTGCAGGCTACCCTTCTGGCCATACATGAAGTTGTTGTTTTGCATGTGGCTGGTATTGCCCGTTTTCAGCGGGGCTTCATATATCTATATGAACTTTGTGAGGAAGTATGTTGTGAAGTTTGGTGGCACAGTGAATGAGGATTACCCAGAAGAGAGAAAGAAGGTTCTCCAGATGCTGAGCCTTGATGCAAGGATTGCAGTGAACCAATATGCTGATAAAAATGGATGGAGTGCTGTTGAAAAAGCTATCAAAGCTGTAAGCAATCAAACCAATTCCCATACATGGATAAAACTATACGGTAACTCTATATGCATGCTATATATGGTGATTTGATTAGTTAATTCTCTTTGAGTCGATTTTCAGGCTGAAAGAGAAGTAAAGAAGAGCTATTGAGAGGAACAAAATTATCAACCACTTCCTCTACCAATTCATCACAACATTCATGTCAAATTCAAGATTGTCAGCAGGAGGTGACACAGGAAATGAAATATGCATGTACTAGCTAGGTATATAATGTGTGTAAACTTCTTGCAATAAAGTGAAAAACGAAGGGGTGGAATTTTAGCGTGCATCTGAAGGAGAACATGCTTCTCATCCATGCAAGATTGGCTTTCAGCTTTGAATTGTGCCTTGCTTGAGCTTATCAGTCAATTAACCCATAAAGTTAAAACCTTCCTCTCACCTTATTATTTTACGTTTGTTTTTTATATTATTATTTTGAGGATGATCTAAAATTCGATTGGAAGTAGATTTTTTTTTTTTAATATATATATGGAAGAGAATTTAATTGAGCACACGAAAATTGAGTTTGGACATAGTTTTTAAATTTCAAATACTAAAAGTACGGTGGTTTTAAAATTATAAAGTATCTTTTGATTAATGTTTTAAAATAAAACAAAAAAAAAAGTAGTGGTAGAAAGGTTTTTTTTTTCTAAAGATCAAAATTAATTAAATTCTATTTCTGTCTTTGTTTTTCTAATTAAATATTATGACCAGGTTCCTAAATCCTTTACCAGCATATAAGCAAGGTTCATTACCTATGCAAATTTAAATATACTTATAAACTCTTTTTTTCTTAACTCAATCAAAGTTGCTTGTAGAATTTAATATTATAATTTAGTTCATAATATAAATTAATTATCTTAATATAAATCTTAATATAAATTTAATAACCGTACAACACTAACTAAAAATAATCAAATAACATTAATTACAATAAAAAAACATGTTTTCAAAGTCCAACAAAAGTTACTTGTTAGTAAAGCTATAGGCTTTAAAAAATAAATAATGAGAAAATGAGTTCAACAACTTGATGAATAAATAATATTTAATATATACCGACGAGGTAATATAACAATGATAAATATATACAAGTTTGACTTTATGCCTTTACAAGAGAATTTTACAAGCAGATCATAACAATAAATACTATAAGATAAAACTCATTAGAAAATCAAAAGCGAATATGATACTTCAAATTGTGGGATGATCAGTTGCCATATGTTGGTAACTCCCTCGACCAATAATGGTTTAGAACTACGATGTACACAAATACTAACAATATTATGTTAGCATGAATATTCTGAATAGCATACCATAAGATCATAAACAAACAAATATGATTATTTCTTAAATGTTAAACTTATACAATTAATCAAATAAGAAACCATTATTTCATATGTATATGATATCTCATTTCAAGGATTTGGTTTCAATAAATAATCATGCTTTATCATAAACAAAAGATAATAAACAATATTTATATTACCAATAATCATGATCTATTTTATATTATCAATTCAAATATCTTTAATATTCCTCTTATATATAGAATATTATCCACTCACTTGACTCAAGATAGAAGAAATACAAAAGCTAACATTGAAGGAAATCTTATTAATGCTTAGCAGGTAAAATATCAGGAGTAGCCGAGTACAAAAAAAATACTAAAAAATAACTCAAAATAGATAACATAAGATATTACAACTCTAAGATTAAAGACTAAAACATAATTATAAGAATGAAATTATTCATCCAATCAATCACAAAAATTCTTCAAATTGACAGGATCTAAAAAACTCATTCATCCTTTATTGCTAGGTCAACCAATTAATCAAAATTAACTCGCTAGTCGACCAAAACTAGTTAGGTTAACCGATCAGTCGATTGATTGTGATTTCTGAATCCCAATCTATTAGTCTCTAACAAAAAAAATAGATCTTTAAAACTCAACTAATACCTTAAAAATTCATAACAATTAACCCGTAATACTTCAATTAACTTATAAATCAAACTCAAAAATATAAACTTCAAAACCCTAAATGTTAAAAAATTTGAAATCTTAACTAATAACAACAACTATAAATATCAAAAGATAATTCTTACCTTAATAACTTATTTTCTCTTACTTTCTTCTCTTTCATTATCTCTCCTTTTTCTTTCTTTTTCTCAATCCCCTTTCGAGTTCTCTTTCTCTAAATTTTGATTTAACATACTTTTTATTATTATTTTTATTTATATTATCAAATTTTATGTAATTATTAAATTACCCCTCACTCATTTATGTCTATTATGTACTCTTCAAAGAGTATTGTTGCCATTTCCTATTAAATCTTTTTTTTTCTTTCAGAATATTACACGAAACATTTTATATCTTTTAAAAAAACAAACCTATGCTATATAACTAAAAAAATCAATAACAAAACCTATGCTATGGAACTAAAAAAAAATAATAATAAAACTTACCTATGACGAGAGTGTAATTTAGTCATTGTAGTTTATTGAAAGTAATTAATTAATTAATCCCTGTAGTATAAAAAATAATAAAATAATTCTTAATCTATATTGACCAACCTTATTCTAGGAGCTTTTTGCTGAAAACAAGAGGATTAATTAATTAAATAATTTGATTAAACTATAGGGACTAATAATTAATTCAAATATAGAATCCGGATAGATTATTTCTTACCTTTAAAAGTCAGAACTCTTGAACTAAATCCCTCCAAGCAGCTGTGTTCTTTGTCCTTTACAACAATGCACGCGGATTCATTCTCAGCCTCAAGTTCAAGAGATCACTTTGTCATTAAAGACTTGTCTATCCACAGCCTATAAGATTTGCATTCCCTCCCTCTCTGTCTCTCTCTTCTCTCTAGGTTCACCTCTAAAACAAGCAACCATGGAACTTGTGAGAACTTACTCTGTCTCAACCATTCATGTCCCAACTTCAATAAGCAAAACCCAATTTACCAAACCCAATTTCTTGAATTTTCAGTTTAATCCAATACCCAGTTCATGTCTCTTACGAATTCATGGAAAAACATCATCAAAATCCAAGCTTTTTACCATATCACCATCACCATCCTCCGTTTCAACAGACTCGATAGGCCCACCTGAGCCAGAGGTTGAGGTTGAAACTAAAGGAGAGAAGTTTGATTGGTATGCTCAGTGGTATCCACTCATGCCAGTTTGTGATCTGGATAAAAGGGTGCCACATGCAAAGAAAGTGTTGGGTCTTGATGTTGTGGTGTGGTGGGATAGGAATGAGAGTGAATGGAAGGTCTTTGATGATACTTGTCCTCATAGGTTGGCTCCATTGTCTGAAGGAAGGATTGATCAGTGGGGGAGGTTGCAGTGTGTGTACCATGGTTGGTGCTTCAATGGCTCTGGTGACTGCAAGCTCATTCCTCAAGCACCTCCGGATGGTCCTCCAGTAATAATTATTTTTATTTATTGTCTTAATGCTTATTATTTATTCTTGGATGTTGCTGCATTATATTATATGATGCTTACATTGAAGCGTTATTACATGGTCCTTCATTTACATAGATGGCAATGGCGCAAGGCATGTCGTGTTTGAGGCAAAACTATTGACAAAGCAATACTGTATTGATAGATGTTGGAGTGCAGGAAAATTCTGATGGAAATTCACATGGTAGAATTGCATTATTATTACCTTGAGATGATTATTTTAGGCAAAGATGTTATGTTGTTCCTCTTGCTGCACTGATTTAGCTTTCATTGTTTATGTTCAGCAAACTTTTTCCTTGTCAAATGGATTTTAGTTGATCTTTCCATCAAATGATGCAGGTCCACACATTCAAGAAAGCATGTGTAGCTGCTTATCCAAGCACTTTGCATCATGGCATTGTATGGTTTTGGCCCAACACTGATCCACAATACAAAGATATTATTTTGAAGAAACAACCGCCCTTCATCCCAGAATTGGAAGATCCATCCTATACCAGAACAATGGGAAATAGAGATATTGCATACGGGTATGCAAAGACGCAGTCTGCACTTAAATTGTTCCTCATGTTATCTATAAATTAAAATTAAAATTTATTTCTATTCTTCGCTAGATGCACTGTCATGTTTACTGTTTCTGCCAGTAGAGATTGGGGCATAACTAATTCTCGTAAGAATTAGCTTTCATAGATGATTGTTTGATATATCTTTTAAATTGAGTAATTTTCTTGAGCATCTTTGACTTAAACTCCATGAAAAAGTTACAGAAATTAGAACTGCATCCATAGTAAGATCGAAGTTATCTTGTTTTAGCTTTGCTTCTCTAAACTACATCTTCATTTTCAGGTATGATGTTTTGGTTGAAAACCTGATGGATCCTGCTCATGTTCCCTATGCACACTATGGAATCATGAGAACACAAACACCGAAAGGTGTGTTAGGGCGTTATGTTTTGTTCTCTTAATTTGTGTAGTTCATAGGCGTTATGTTTTGTTCTCTTAATTTGTGTAGTTCATGTGATTCAACCTAAAATTTCACTGCAGTGAAGGTTGATAGAGAAGGGGGCAGACCTGTTGCATTGAGTGTCAAGAAACTAGACATAAATGGTTTTGATGGAGATCAGGAGTGGGGTGTTAGTAAATTTATCGCACCATGTATCTTTTATGCCTATACTAAACCTTTGGAGAATCAAGGTAATGGAGCTGCATCGTCGGCTGGGACCATAAAGGTAAGCATTTGCTTGCTGTATACTGTTCCGAGAAAAAACATGAGATGATTTTTCATAAATTAGTCTTGAAAACTCGAAGTTATGCTAGGCTTTTAAAACGTGATTTCCTTTTTATACAGTTGCTTCTCTAGTTCTCATCATCTTTTTTCTTTTTTCCCATTAATTTTGTAACACTGCAGCCTTCTGCACAACGGAAAATGGCCTTAATTTTTATCTGCATTCCAGTTAGTCCAGGAAATAGCAGATTGATATGGGTCTTTCCTAGAAACTTCGGAGTTTGGATTGATAAAGTTGTTCCAAGATGGATTTTTCATGTGGGACAAAACCTAATTCTGGATTCCGACCTGTATCTTCTTCATGTGGAGGTGATATTTCTGTTTATGAAAGCATAGTTTTCTTTTGCAACTAGTTACCTTGTTGACTATCACTTAACTTATCATTAATTAGGATGAATAATATTAAAATAAACTCACTGATAGGTATACAGAACCTGTATAAAGGTTAATCAATGTCTATTTTGGTATAAATTTTTTCATGAATTGCATTTAGTGGTGCTGTTAAATTCCTTCTGGTAGTCAAAAACCTGGGCTGAGAACATTGTCGCCGGACAAAATATTGTATTAGAAATGTTATGGTCATGCTCATCCAGTATCAACAGAAATCTAAAATCCTATGATTTTCCTTTCTGCACAAGGATGGTTTACTTTGAAATATCATCCTTTACTTCAATGGAATTGTAATTTGATAGAACAGAAACTGTCGTAACATTTCATCCTGTGCGAAGTGGTCATATATCCTAGCTCAATGAACATTTTCGTTTCTGCTTATACCAAAGAATTCTAGTCTTTATTTCTATACTCTCTAAAACTAGAAAGTGGAGCCTGCACTCAACTCACATTGCCTGACTACAATTCTCTTCACAGGAGCGCAAGATCATGGATGCTGGCCCTGCCAACTGGCAAAAGGCTTGTTTTGTGCCAACAAAATCGGATGCCCTTGTGGTTGGTTTCAGAAGATGGTTAAACAAGTATGCTGGTGGCGAAGTTGATTGGAAAGGCAAGTACAGTGGGGCTCTTCCCCCAACTCCTCCCAGAGAACAGCTGATGGGCAGGTAATGATTGTCTTATCTACTAATGGAGATCCAGCATTTCAGTTGGAGAAACTTGGTTCTCTGTTAAATTTGGAACTGTCTTTCAGGTACTGGTCCCATGTGGTAAACTGCCGCAGTTGCAATGCTGCACACAAGGGCCTCAATGCTCTAGAGGTTGTTCTGCAAGTCGCTTCTCTAGCTTTCGTTGGGATTGTTGCTGCAACCAAGCAGAATGTCATGTCCCTAGCTGCAAGAAATACTATGATAGCAGTGGCAGTAGTATGCTTTGCAGGATCAAAATTGTTGGCTCACTTCATCTACAAAAACTTCCATTACCATGACTACAATCATGCTTTTCGCTGAGGCATATACTCATACTGTTTACTGCAAAACATTACTGAGTCAGAGGTCTAATGTACAGTTGGTTGGTTGGGTTGGGGGGGGTTGGTGGGGCGCTTTCGCGTTATTTGAATTGCTTAAACTATGATGTTCTAACAACTATAAATAGTCATTTGTAATGTTTTATCAAACCACTTGCTAGTCATTAATATATTATAGGTCAAAAGTAATATCCTATGTACCACTTGTCATTCGAATGAAACATCTAAGCTTCTAATACATAAGTTTTTCAAAAAAATTGAAAACAAAAACTACAAATGACATCAGATAACTTCTGAAAATACGTATCAATGATGTTTATCCATCATTTACCAAGTGTATTGGAAATAGATATTTTTTCCTTGTGGGTACGCAAAGGTGTCATTTGAGCCCTGGTGTTCTTCATTATATTTCCAAACTAGATTTATTTCTAGTTCTGGTCGCATTTTATTGCTTCTGGCTGTACATCTTGGGTCATAAGCACTATTGCTGGAAAGGATTAACTTCCATATTATAATGGCTGAATTATTGCTCGCAATTTCAGACATGATTTGTTGATTGAAAATGTGTAGGATCCTGGTCATCTTCCGTATGCACGTTATGGACTAATAAGCGAACCCTGTATCTTTTATGCTTATAGTAGCCCGGGTGATGCACCGGAAAAGGTGATCATTGACATTTATGATTCCTGATTCTCCTTTTCTTGGGTCTTATTTCACAAACGATTTGTTGTCGAAGCAGGGTTCTATGTATAGAGAATGGCATATATTTTTATTTGCTTTCAAGTTAGTCCAGGGGAAAAAAAGATTGATATGGATCGTTCCAGGAAACCTTGGACTGATGAAGTTGTCCCACGATGGATTTTTCATTTGAAATAAAACCTCATCCTGGATTCAGATCTGTGTTTTCTTCATATGCTGGTGGTTTTTCTGTTCATGAAGCCGTAAGTTTCTTTTGTCATGTTTCCTGGTTTGAAGAACATATTGGAGCTTGTACTCTGTAGCAAGAGCCATGTTTTGGCCTCATGAATGTAATTATTAAGTGTTTCTGTATTTTCAGTTTTGTTTGATATGTCTTAATTGTTTAACAAAATTTATCTTTTAGTTTTTGAATTGATATCTTACACATTTCATTATTATACTATTTTAATAAAGTTTGCATTTTGATAAATATAAGAAGTATTATGAATTATTTATTTAATTTTTAAAGTATTATTTGATTTTATTGCTTTAAAGAATATAATATTTTAAAAAACATTGAAGTGTCGTGAAATCTTTCATGATATATATGTATTGAGATTTAGTGCTGGGTGGATGTTCGTTCGATACTGTTCTTGTGTTACTGGTAATAGACCACTGTTAGTATGAACTGACCCTAGAATTGTGTTCACAGGAGCGCAAGTTCAAGGATATTGGCCCAGCCAACTGGCGAAAGGATTGTTTTGTGCCAACAAAGTCTGGTGCCCTTCTGCTTGGATACAGAAGATCTCAGTTCGAGCATCTCTCTTAATTTTGTCTCCTAAGTTTGCAGCTGATCTTTCAGGTACTGGTAGTAGTGTTTGCAGCTGATTTTTCAATGCAGCAAACACTAGAGGTGATTCTGCAGGTTGCTGCACCAGCATTCCCTGGGACTAATGTTGCTGCAGCCAAGCAGGAAGCCAGTATTGATAATTGAGAGGAGAAAATTGGGGCAGAAGAATCAAAAGTATATAACTTTTTCTTCATTTCATCACGTTTAAGGAGTAAAAACCGAGAAGAACCAATAATTGAACTTAAGGTTCATCAAATTAAATTGTTTAATGAAATAAAATAAACTACGTGTAACAATCAACTCAAGTAAAATCCAAGAACATGATTTGAGTACAGTGTCTTCTCCACTAAAAGTATGCTTTCCTGATTCGAAATGGGTGGGCCCATTTCATCCACAGAACTTCCACTTCCCCGAGGCGTGGTGGAAATATGGCACTGGGTTGACTAAAATTCTTGATTCTTAAAGTCTAGCAGACTTATTGCTCTCTCGTCTGCTGCTGTTAGAATAAAGTTGTGACAGCTGTATAGACTTTAGTTCAGTGTCCGTTTTTCTTGAGATTAGTGTTTGTATACATAAAGAATTATATTTTAGGGTATTACTTTACTGCTTAAGTTATCATTAGGTTTACATCAGTTTTATAACATGATCTCACAACTTTATTGACTCCAAATAATTATAAGTTTGTATTTTATTAGATAAACAATTAAATATAAAATAATATAGATATATTTAAGTTTTAAGTTAAATGATTTTTAGTTAAAGATAAATATCTTAAATAATTATATAAATCATAATTTAAAATATCCATTACGAACTTAACTTATTAAGTGTAGATAATTATTTAACATAAATATTAGCACAAGAGAAAATAAAAAAATTAAAATGCTGCTCAACATCTTTAAAGTTACATTTAAGTGGTAAAAAAATTGGTCATACATCTAAAACATAAAATAAATATGTTTTATAAAGAATTTTAAAATTAATTTATATTTTTTAAAATAAGTAGGATAAAGAATATATCTCTATTGTCTCTATCACTTTTATCTCGAGAACAATAATTAAATATTTCTAAATACTTTTTAACATGCGCTTTGCATAAACTAGTATAATTGAGCTTACAAAACATAAAAAATTTAAACATTCAAATTTATATATGAATTTGATCCAAGTAGATGATTTAGATATCTTAACAAATATTTTTATCAATTAATAAAATAAATTTAAATTCAATAGGAGACTAGTTTAGCATCTTAAATGTGAGATAATATGAGATTTGACCATCTTATTGAATAAAATTTAATTCAATAAAATATGAATATAAATTCAAAAATAGATCAGTACTAAAAAAATAAAGTAATATATATAAATATTTAAGAATTAATCATAGTACTCATCATACAATCAACATACATATATTATTTATATTACAAGTATATTAAAGATTATTCCACTTACTTGAAAAATAAAAGTAAAAGATAAATAAATATATAACTAGATATTATTGAAGATTGTTAAGAGGAACATCAATATAACCTATAATGGATAAAAATGATTCGAAACAAAGTAATATAAAAATTTAAAACTCTAAGTTTAGAGACCAAAACATAATTATAAAGTTGAACTAATTTACCCAATAAATCTTGAATATAACCCAAACTGATCAAATCTAAGAGACTTGATTGACCCTTATTATTGGGTCAACCAATCAGCTACCATCACAAGCTAACCAGCCAGCTGGTTTAGACTAATTGGTTGGCCGGTTTAGACCAACCATTTGATAGCTAGAATTAGTCAACTAGTCGATTGGCAACAACCAGTCAACTAATCGGCTAATTAATTGAGATTTTTATAATCCTCACCTTCAATCTTCAAATCTTTAAATTTCATAAAACACCTATTTTTTTCATCAAAACTCAAATTTCTAGACATCAATTCAAATGGTTTTAAACCAACTAATATCTTAAACCATCATTTAAATCTCCTAAATCATTCAATCATCGAATCATAATAACAACATTAAATTTTCTTAAAATATTCTACCATCAAATCCTTGATCAAGAATAATAATAAGAAGGGAGATAATTATCTATTCTTCGACCCTCTTGAAACAAAAACTTTAAGTGATTTCTTGCTATATTGGTGTAAGTCACGGCAAAAACCAAAACTTTAAGTTCAAAATTGATTTCTTGCTGTATATAGGTGTAAGTCACGGCAAAAAGTAAAAAAATGAGGGGAAAAGAAAATTCTCTTGCAATATTTTCTTTAAATATCTAAGTTAGTTGGATTGGATTCTGGGCTGGGCGAAAACATGGGACTTGCACTGTTGTTATTCTATTAGCTCCCGCATACATCACAGACATGGAAGCTTTGCCCAAAAAGAATAGGTAGATGAGTGCTTGTCATCAGAATCCTTGGAAGCTGGAAGGGTGAATATTGTTCATTGTAGTTGGAAATCTGGCCTGGGTTATCCCAGAATATATACAAAAAGGTTACGAGAAAAAGGAAGAAAAGAAAGGAAAAGGTGTTTCCATTCAGCAGCTGCAGCAACTAGACTCCATAAAACCAAGTCTTGCATGCGCCTTCATTTATGTTCATGTTATCGGTCAAATCACAGAAACTACAAAGTCTTTACTTCCTTGTCATCATGATCCATCGTTTCATCTCAAACCCTAAACCTAGCAGAGCTCCATAAACTTCCACTTCGTCAATCATTGTCCTAAACACCTATTCACATCTCTCCCTTTCTGCGTGTGAAAAGAATCCCTATGTTACATTAAACAACAATACAGGGCTTGAAAAAAATGTCCTCCACTTTCTTTCTTTCCTTTCATCCTTTTTATTACTTTTTTATTATTACATTACTTTTCATGTTTGTTTAGCTTTTTTTAAGGTATAATTTTCTTAAAGCACAAATAATACCTCTCATAAAAATAAAAAATACATGTTTTTTTATATAAATATCACAAAAAAAAGAGTCAATTATTATGTCAAACACTCTCTTAATATATTAGTATTTTAATTAGTATTATAGTAATGTACTATTTAATTAATATTAATTAATTACCATTGAATTAATAATATATTATTCTATTAATTATTTTAATTATTAATATTTGAATTATATTAGAATATTCTAATTTCTATTTTTCCATAGTAATATGTTCTCAAGAAAGATTTAATAAAATGTTAATCGAAAATGAAATGATTGATTACAAAGAAAATAAAAAAACAAACTTCAAAGAATTATATAAAAACAAGAAAAATATTTGATTTTTTATTAAAAAAAAATAGATTTCTTTAGAATAGTGTGATAGTTCAAATTAAAATAATTTATTTTCATTTTTTTAATTTTTTATATTAAAATATTAAAATCATTGAAAAATACTAAAAATTTATTAATTTAATATTTTTTTAATTTAAACATACTTTTAAAATATATCCAAACGTACAGGTTCTTCAAATAATTCATAGAGGATTAAGTTCAAGAAATTTTATGATGTTAAAAGAATGACTAATGATATATTATTAGTTACTCCCTGAGTTCATTTTACTCTCTAGCTTGATCAGTAAAACAAGCAGCAATGGAAGGTTTAAGAACTTCCTCTGTTTCATCGATTCACATCCCAACTTCAATAAGCAAAACCCAATTCAACAAACCCAAGTTCTTGAATTTTCAGTTTAATCCAGTACCCACTGCAACTTTCTCAAGAAAAACACCATCACAATCCAAGCTTTTCACAACCATATCATCATCTCCATACTTTGTTTCAACACCTGAGCCAGAACTTGAAGCTGACTCTCAAGCAGAGAAGTTTGATTGGTACGCACACTGGTATCCCGTAATGCCAGTTTGTGATTTGGACAAGAGGGCACCCCATGCAAAAAAGGTGATGGGACTTGATATTGTTGTGTGGTGGGACAACAATGAGAGTTCATGGAGAGTATTCAACGATGCTTGTCCTCATAGGTTGGCCCCGTTGTCTGAAGGAAGGATCGATCGATGGGGAAGGTTACAGTGTGTGTACCATGGTTGGTGTTTTAATGGCTCTGGTCACTGCAACTTCATTCCTCAAGCACCACCTGATGGTCCTCCGGTAATAAGTCCAAACCAGTATGAGCTTCTATAGAGTTTTGGCCAAAATTTTGCATCATCTTTCCATCAAATAATATTGCAGGTCTCCACATCTAAGAAAGCGTGTGTAGCAGTTTATCCAAGCACAGTGCATCATGACATCGTGTGGTTTTGGCCAAACACTGATCCACAATACAAAGATATCATTTTGAAGAAGCAACCTCCCTTCATCCCAGAATTAGATGATCCATCATATATCAAGATAACGGGTTCCAGAGATTTACCTTATGGGTATGCAAATATGAGATCAAAAAATCATCACTTTCTTGTATGTTATGGATTTGGTCGGATTAGTCTTCTTACATTAACATCTTTATTCATGTCAATTGATTACCTGCCAGCCAATTAGATGTTAATGCTTGTCACAGTTCGACTAAAAATACGTTAAAAAAGGTTCGGTTCAGATGACGATGGGATCGATTTTATCATTTTTCATATAAAAAAATTGATCTAACTAAATAATATGGTATGTGGATGTCTGATAGTTTTGATCCTGCAATCATCTGCACTCAAGTGCAAAACTGTTAGTTATATACAGTGCAAATATCATATTTGATATACGTTTCAGAAATAGG